TTCATTCTTCTCTGCTCTCCACCGATATCCCTCCGATCCTACTTTTCTTGTTCTTTTTTCGTTTTTGCTTCACTATCGCAGGCTCTCGAAGACGATCACCAACGTCCCGAGAAAAGAAAGGGTAAAAGTGTCCCTACTATTCGAACGTTTGCCCGCGATAGAAACGCAAAAAAGTTTAAGAAGGAATCGAAGGTACTTTTGGAAGTCGATTCGTCGGGATCCTAATTTCTTCGCGGGAAAAATCTCTGAATTTCCATCGAAAGTCGATATGAACGCCACACGGCGGTTTCTTATAAAATTTATCGAATCTGCTTTGAATTATGGAGGCCGCAGATTATTCGACGGTGTAATGCACATTACGCGTTGCACAGCAAGCTTGTTTGCACATACCAATTCCATGAAACGAGACTTGAACGAAATAATGGCCCCGATTTCGAATTATCTGTTATGGTTTAATCGTAATTTATAAATCGATACAAACGTGTAGCAGCAGTGAAATTTCGTTGAACGATACTAGAGATAAAATTATTTTCCCGAAAAATAACTCGTTAATTTCTTTAACAAAGAATTGCTCTTTGTTTTTTCTTCCATCAACGTTCCATCAATAGAAAATATTTCAGCTGTAGTTAAAATTTCATGAACGCGAATACCGATGACCGAAAAACACTTGATCAAAGCGATCAAGGATGTTTCGCTAGGATGAAGAATTCCTCGCACGCGTAACGCGCGACTGCCTCGATCGTCCGCGCTGCTTCGATTCTCCCTATTCTGTTTTTCGATAGAACGAACCAACTCGGCGGCCGTGCCGAGTTTATTAATACTCGGGCATTTACGACTTAATTAACCCAAGCGACAAAGATTTCGGGTCGGCTCCACGCGTGCACATGTACTCGCGATTAACCATGCGTACCGCGATGTAATTAACTGAATGCAGCCCGCCCGTGCTGTTGCGTAATCAACAAGTTCGCGTGTTTTTTTCCCCTTCTTCCGACTCGACCTCTCGCCATGAATACTAATTACATTTGTCCCACTGAAACAGTCGATGACTCATTTTAATCTCGTTTCTCCCGTTCCATTTCCACCTAAGAGTGCTTGCGCACTGATCGTTGCAATTTCCAATTTCCATTTACACCTCGCGATACCTAACACCTCGCGGAAGCGTTTAATTGTAATTTCTCGCTAAATTAACTCCTGTAAAAATAGGCGCTAATAGGTTTTCGATCGATGACGCGTTAACGCTTTCGAATACGATTTCGATTCGTGGTTACCGCTCCGAGGCAAAATCTGTGTGCCAGTGCCAGAGGGATTAACCGTAAGACGTCGATTGATAATAGGAAGATTGGAAGAATCGTTAGGGGATAGCAACGAGACGCGATTGTGCAACGAAAGTCAATTCAAAACCTACATACGTAATCGAGCGAAAAATGTGTGACGAGGAAACTCGAGGGAGAAGTTGGCTAGAAGAGTAGAAGAAAAAGAAGAAGATGAAGAAGTAGAAACGAAGAGAGAAACTGTTCTTCTTCTTTCTCGTAGAAGCGACTTTAAACCGACTCCTTTCTCTCCGTTAACAGCTCCAATCTCGTCGAAATACGCGCGGCACGTATTACCAACGCCCTTTTAGAGAAAACTCGATCGGTCTGGTTAGTACATCGCTTATCCGTGGTTTGTTCTCCTCAAACCCGAAACTTCCCCCGATTCGTTCGTTGTTTTCGCCTTTAAACCGCGTAACGATACACGTTCGAGCGGGTGTAACTCCCAAGTTTTTCTTCGGAAGAACATTCGTCGGATATCGAGTTAACTCGAACAGAATGAATCTTCCGGACAAAGGAACGAGGGGCGGAAAAATGAAATTGTCACGAGCAACCGAAATCGGCTCCGAAACTGAACGTCGCGACTTACGATTTGCGGGAGGAAACAGAGATTGGGTCGTTACCGCGAGGAAGCCGGTGACGGGACGCGAAGATTAATCCGGTGAGGAGCATGCAGCGGAGAACTTGAATAATTCTGGCAGCATTCGAAAGCCAGAGCAGGGTGTTGTCGCATCGTCGAAAGGGGGCTTATGCTCGACGATCGAGCAGCCGGTCATTCGAGTTTGCCGGAGAACGAAGGCGCCACGCTCTCAGGAAAGTTCCATCTCATCAGCCATTAAACAAAGCAGCAGCAGACACAAAGGAGCGTCTGTATTGTCGAGAGGGTAGCTGGCAACGGCTCAAGAGAGAGAACCAACCCTCCTCTGTCGACTAACGTCGAGAGGTGCTTCTGATTAATCTCCGCTAGCCCCCTCGCGCTGCTCCCTTTCTTTTTCTTCCTTTCTTTTCTCTTTCTACGGTGCTACGGGGGTTCGTCCGTGCACCTTTCAAAAATGCAAAACGTTCCGAGCGGCGAGGGTGAGAGAAGCCTGCTCCTTTCAACCGTAAGACTGTCCCCTTGCGGACGGATAACCATCCTGGAACGTGTAACTCAAAGGGACGAAATCAATGCCGAACACCACCTTGTCCGTCATCCTTTCTCCGAGATTTTAACGTCGCCGCGAATTTTAAGCTGTCCTGTTATCCGAATATCTTATTGATAACGACTCTTGTATACGTGCGTCGATGTCCGTCGTGGAAATTCAGCTAATTTTTATACTTTTACGATAACGAGTGGTTCCAGCCGTCGGAGGGGAACGGTATCTTTATTTCGCGCCGCTTCCTTTCGCAGCCCACGCAACGTAGCAAAGTTTTCTAATATTGGGAAGCGACCGGAACGATACGGGGTATCTTTAATATCCGTTATTGCTTCGTTTTTTCCCCGCAATCAAGAGCCGGAGAGGCGAAACGCGATACAAACAGATATTTTAAACGATAGGAAGGCGAACTCGATCGAGAAGGTATCCGTTTACTTGTTGCAGAGAGTCAACGTAAGCAAACGAGGTAATGCGAACCCCTTCTAACGAAAATTCTAAAGAAAGATTTTGCCAACTTTGAAACAAGCAGAAATATTACCGCTAATTACCGAAGCTTCAAAACTACGCGCGTGCAAAATTTGCACGAAATTAAAAGGAGAAAACGATGAAATTCCCTTAGTCCGCGCGATTCATCCTCGGATAACGAGCGGCGTAGAAAGTAATTGGAGGAATCGGCGTTTTGTTCGTCCGAAAGATTTTATCCTAAAAAGTTTCTCCGTTGTTCGATGAGCGACTAATTAAAATTTTCTGAACCGTCGATAAACTGGGTTCGTTATATGGCGATGTTTTTTGCATCGATGGCGCTTGTTCCGAGTCACCGACGACCACTCGCGGAACAAACAACGGGAAAAGAAAAAAGGAACAGAAAAGTCCCCGTCGATTTTTACGTTCGCGACCCAAACGAAGGAGAAGAGGGAAGAAACAGAGACAGAAACAAAGAGCAAGATACGCGAAACGCGGCATCCAGTCGCGTTACCGCGGACGCACCGATTTCGCTCTGCTCCACTGATTTTCCTCCCTCGTAGTATCACGACTGAACTCGAGAAAAATTTCCTATCGTGGCGGATACGGGGAAATGACGCGGAAAATCGGAGAAGGGAATGCCCGTTCGGTTCGTTGCAGCCTTTTACTTTCTTCTTCCTTCTTTTCCGAGTTCATTTCCAATCGCGCGACCTGTTCTCTTCTCGTTAACGCTGCCAACTCGTCGCCGACGTATTTTGTCCACCAAAATATCGCTGGCTCGAAGCAAAATTTTTAGCCGTTCGACGAAAAATTCTTGTAGAGCATATCAGGGCGCTTCCCGAGGAAAAGAAGTATCGAACAAGTGATGGAAAGGTCGGACCGTGGATCTTTTCCAACTTCTTCGTCGTATTTCGGATAAACTTTTTATTTTTACCGGGCACTTTTAAACGTTCCCTAAGAATTTTTCAGTCCCAAGAAGGACTGAAAATTGGTCCTTTTTAACTTTGTAGCTGGCGATGGATATTCGAAACTTCTTGAAAGTTTTCGAGCGCTTCGAGCGTACTCGAGCTTGGAATCGCTTTGAATTTTATTGAAATCTTGAAAGTCGTGTAATTCTTGGAAAAAAGAGCACGCAACAGAATGCAAATTTTGAACTGAAAGTTTAATGTTTCACGAATTTCGAGCGTATCCAAAATTCGAGACGTTCAGGGGTTGAATAGAATTCTCCTTGTATTTATATTCGAAACGATTCGAGGCGCTCCATAATCCATCATCGCATATAACGTCGAGTTTCACCTGGCGAGTCTCACGGACCCGATAAGACAAAATAAATCGTGCTTCGATGATAATCAAATTTTCGCTTAGATTTCAAATACTAGGAAAGGACTTAGAGGCTAGACGTGGTCGAGGAAAAATCCCGAAGCGAACGAAATTGATAAGAAACCGATTCGTTCAACAGCGTTCGTTCACTTACGTAATTACGATCACCGCGGCGTTCGAATCGATGGTTGGAAGTGCACGATAGGATTTCTAACGTTTGTTACGTGAATCCAGGGAACAGCGATTTCGAGATCTGAGGATCGCACGGCAACCACCGTAACATTATTTTCAGTTCGGTCGTAGAAGTGGCGTCGGCGGAATACGACTCGGAGAAAGAAACAAATGGCACGTTCGTGGCTCAATCTATCGGTTCATTTGAATAAGTCGACCGTTGGAAACATCCTTTCTGGCTCCTACCACCTGCTTCTTCCACCCTTCTGTTGCTCATCGTCTACTTCCCTCGCGGATCCTCCGTTTGCCTCTCACCCCTTGCAACCAGTGTTTCACTTCGGTTGTCGACGCTTCAACGGTACGGACTATCTTTGCTGCCTCCCTTAAACGTCTCCTGATGGAGATCGCGATTATACTCCTTTTTTCCTCTCTCTCTATCGTTGCCGAGTACTTTCCGACGACAGACTGTCGAGGGTGTTCAACCCTGCTTCTTTTTTTCAAGAAAGCGAATCTATTCGAGCCCGAAACAAAGCGATAGCGTTGAACGCCGATACTTTTATCTACCGTAGTCTCTTCGATATAACAGATGACGAATACTCACATATGGAGAGTCGATCTTGATCCACCGTGAGAAGACGCCTCGCTGCAACTTTCACTCGATGATCAAACTCAACAAAAACTGTTTTCACGATGCAGTGGGTTTAAATGTAGTTCAACACTATCCACTATCTACATATATTACCGATGTAATATTTCATGATTTATTACATGCTAAGATAACCTTTTAGGTTATCAAGCATTAAGCGGAATATTTCTGCAATCTGTCTCCTGGAAGGTCGGCAACGATTATACGAATAAACAAGATAAATGTTAAAACTGATGTTTTATAGGTTAAGTTCACTTGGTTCAACTCTTCATTTCCTAGAAGCCTATCTTTAGCGAACTATTATTATACGATGTTTAACATCTCAACGAACATGATCAAAAGCACAAGTTTAATTAAGAGACCAAACAATATTCCTAAAATTTGAAGCGAAATAAAGGAGACGAAGGTACAATGAGCGTGCGAGTATGATCTTATCGTTTCTTATAAGTTAATAATGCGAAACTTACCGATTGTCTGCTTCGTAACGCGCATACGTAACGAAGAAAATCAAATACGTTCGAGATTCGAATAGACACCTTTGTTCCCTTTGCCGGTGAATTATAATTTCGGTGCAACTTTTGGTACGACCCTTCGTGTTCCTTGAACTTGGTTTCTTCGACGGGACGGGGCGGAAATTCCGTAACGCGGCGACGCGTTACAAATTCACGAAAGATCGCAATTGTAACGGAGAAAACCGAAGAAATTTCTCCTTCCAGTTCTCCTTCCGTGAACCGAAAGTTTCATCGTCGCGGAGTGCCGTTCCTTCGCACCTGCTCTTTATTTATAACCTCGAATTCGCTTCCTAACTTCAACATCGAACGAATAACCGCCGGCTGCTTGGAATTAATACGTAAATTTCTGAGGGCATAACTCGACAGTTATTTAACCCTTTTTCGTAGGGGTCAACTCGGCGGTCCAGAAATTAGACCGTAAGTTTCAGCGAAGTGTCGAATGTCGCTTACAAAAGCCCTAAATTGGTAGTACAAGTCATGAAAGTAGAAACGGATAAAGTGCATGACCAAAAACATAAAAATTGTTCGCAGTTGCAGGCACGCCGAGTTTCCGAGCTTCGAAAGTTTCGGGCTGCGAGCGTTCCAAGTTTGAAACGTTGCAAGTTTAATGCGTTCCAAGCTTTAAGCGTTCGAAATTTAAAGCGTTCCGAGTTCGAGTCGTGCACATATGTACGCGATAACGTTTCTTTTGGCTCGGCACGTTTTCGATTCGCGGCATGTTACTTTATTACGAAAACAGTTGCCGCGGGTCTAGGTATCAAGCGATGAGGTTAGCTCGCGGTAAAACGAAACAAGGATTATTCGACGATTAATCGTAATTCGTACTTCTGTTTCGCGAAAACGCTCGAGAAGATGGCTTTTACTGCATATTCCTGCTAGTTCTACTTTATCCATTTACTCACGGCTCGTTACTCGTTGCTTTTCCTCTCGACCGTGCAAAAGTTATTACGCGTAAAACACGGGACGAGTAGCGAATAGATTAAAAGCCCGACACCGTATTGCTTTATTTCTTAATCACGCGCCGTGTTCGAGCATTATTCGGGACGAATGCCGGGGAATTGTCCCTCAGGGAAGATTCGTTCGTTTTCGAGCATAGCGTGGTTGCAGACAGCCACGGTTCGTGGCCATTTTTTGCCACCGGAGCGGTAATTGAAGGCGCAACACCGTACTTCGGTTTCCACGGACAAAACTTTAGTTTCTTACTTAATTACCGCAACAACTATCCTCTTGCTTTTTCGCAGTTGCCCGCGGTAACCGTGATCTTCGGTGGTTACTCCCTTTGTTCGCTCGATTGTGGTCCCGAGTCGCGGAATAAAGCGTATAATATTCAACGAGGTGTTTTCATTGTACCAACTTTCCCCCGCGGGCAACGATAACGTAATTTTAAACAGTCTCTCCAGGCACTAATCTTTATTCTCTTCGATGCAAAAAGTTCGCTCACAAAAGGGGAGATCGTTAGACATTTATCGGGAGAAATCTGGTACTTAAACGGATCGATTTATGATATTATTGCTGCAGTTCCGCTTCGAGGATCGTTGAAAGTTTGTTTATGCACGAATCGCGATTTTACAACTACAAGTGCTGCTCTTCTTCGTTTCCCCGCTTCGGAAGCAAAGCCGTAACATCCAGTTTGCCTTTTTGCTACTAGAACCTCCGACTAAAAATTTGCGCACGATGCGTGAATAATAGAGGGAATATGAACGCGTCGAATAACCATAAAGCAGTTTCAAGCGTCTCCAGTGGATTTTCCCGAAGACACTCGACGGCTCTCGTTCGCCCGCTATTTCCCTGCGAAAATAAGTATCCTTTCTACGTTTTCGTGAATCCGTCGGGGATTGTAAAACGGCCGTCGAGCCGTGATAATTCTGTAGGTGTCGAGAGAGGATTCGGAACCCGAGAGGAAACGGCGCGTTGGCCGAGTGCCCGTGAAACTTGGAGCTGTTGCCGGAAGAAAACCGCCTCTCGCTATCTTCCTCGCCTCCTTTTCTTTTTTTAATAGATGTACAGGGTGTGTCGAAAAATGTATGTCCATATTACAAATCATTCAAAATGTAGCTGGTGGAAGGGACAAACGGTAACTGAAACGATGTTCCCATTTCTCTTGAAAAAGGTATTGTTTGCATCTCGTAGTGTTCGCAAAGATCAGACATGCTTCTGGGTTTGCACGATGAAAACGATACAACGTGTAGAAAAAAGCAAAGGAACGATTTCCAATAAATACTCGTGCTCGCGACAACATCCCGAAGTGGAAAGATTTTCCGAGTGTTCAAATACGGAAAGACGACGTGTAGTTTATAGAAAGCACGGTGAAGTGTACATCGGTCTCCTCGGGGGGTGTGGAGGAAGTGTCGGATCATGAGAGGGTCGGTGGCTGGTCCGGTTACCTAGCACAGCGATACCAACAAGGGGTTGGTTTTCCCTCGGGCATCGTTATTCACAACTATCCCAGACTAGCTCTAGGTACTTGGTAGAAGGATGCGGGGAGGATACAGGTTGCTCGACCTCGAGCTGCGATGGCTCTCTTCTATTATTCACTCGTCCCTGAAGAGGTCAGATCCGCAGTGGACAGGGATGCTTTGCGACCTGTCCAAAGACGTTGTCTGGAAAATCTTTGAACCACCTTTCCTTCGATCTCTTATTCCGCTGATTTTCCGTCTCGATAAAAATTCCAAAGAGTACTTCCTCCTACCGACCCGACACTCTTGCTCGATCAACTTCGATGACCAGAATATCTTATTATTTGCAAAAGAATTTTGTCAAAAGATCGGTTCTTCGAACATAGGTAGATCTTTGACACGTATGGCTTCAATGATCTATTCTTCACAGTATCGAGTCGTATCAATTATTTCGACAACGGAACTTTTTCCTCCGATTTATTAATTTCATCCCCTTTTCGTCGCATCTTCCCACTCTTCTTCCCAGTGGCTCGTAGTTCACGTTTCTCTTGTCACTTTTTGCGCGACCATCGTCCTTCCCTTCCACGGTTTTTTTTACCCATCCCTGTCGCTTCCCCATGCTCCCCTGTCTCTTTATTCTGGCAACAAGGGTGGACCGAGGATAACGTCCTCGCGACCTTTGCCCCTCTCTTGCCGTGACCCTGCCGCGTTTCGAGTTATCGCGTGACACTCCTCCTTCTCACACCTTTTTGTTTCGCAAAACGAACAAGCGGATGTAATTTTATGTCGACGGCGCTCGTAAAAACGTGATGGTGACGGGATTATGAAAATACTGACTGGAATATTTTTTCCATCGACGCGTAACTTGCGGTCATATTAAAGGAAATCTTTGCCAACGAGCATTTTACTGTCTATATTAGTTTTTGGAAAATCACCATAATTAACTTTATATTACTAGTGCAGCGATTGAACTTATCTTGATAAGTCAACCAACGCGTTAATTCATCTTTAATCAAATGCGTCCCACTTCGAGTGGCTGTTATATGTTGAATGACGTCGGAAATCGTCCTCCGTTCTCTAATTATTTAGCTGGCCACCCGGCAGCACCTATAGCAACGAACGTGTTAATCGCTTTTCACTTACAAGGAGAAACGATCGTTAGCTGTTGGCGCGGCGCGCACACCGCACCGGTAGCAATTAAATGGCGCGAATTTTGCTCGAGGTTTAAACTCTGTTTAAGGACACGTCGCGTGGATTAATTACCTAATCAGCAGCCGGGATTCCGAAGTTACGATGCTACGCTTAAACTTTCAGCTAACTTGGAAGCGTGAACGATGCGACCGCTAAATGTTGTACTCCTTTACCGAGCGACTAATTGCAGCGTACACCAGCGACGACTGGCAATAGTTTCACGAGTCGTTTATTGTTTCTCTTTCACCGATGCGGTCAACACTTACTGCGGTTACTGACTATTTCAAGGTTAAAATAGACTCAGTTACAATGGTTTTTTTCCGTGGATGTTGAACGAGCTAATTGACCAAACGCGGAAATCACGGAAAATGCTTTTCCAGTAAACGTTTTAATCTCCATCGGTCAGATCGTGATTGCGGGGCAATTCAACAGGAAGCAGAGATTGAAACACGTTGAGGCTGGCAATCATTTTCGCGACGTTGGTTGTGATTCAGGATCAGCGATTTTCGCGGGAAAAAAGCAGCTCATCGAATCACGAAACAAAAAGTTTAGCAGCGAGTCAAGTACACGGTCGCGCGAACGCGTAAGTGGAGCAACGCAACACAAATAAACGAACGTTTATTCAGCTTCCGTAGAATCGGTTATCCGTTGGTCAAGCTTCCAGCTGGGCTTCTGCGCGTTATTAATCGACGGGACTGCTCGTAACTCATCGCTCGGCCTCGTTACCCTTCTTTCCTCCCTGGCCTTTTTCTTCTTTCTGTTCTTCGTCGCTCGTATTTTTGTAGATCACACCGGGAATGTCCGGGTTTCATTCTCGTCACGAGGTTTTTACTTTCTACGCGACGACGGTGACGATGCGATTGAAAAAACGTTTCTAAAACGACAGAGCTTCTACTGTCAACGATGAAAAACGTTCGCAAACGACGTGTAGCACGGAAATGGCTGTAAAGCCTGTCA